TCGGCGGCTTCAGAATTGTATAAATCGGCTCCCTATTCGACTCCTGAATCCACTACATTTTGTCTTCACTGGCAGGTTTGGCAGGTCAAGTATTGACCTAAGAACAATTGGAGTAGGTTACCAGGGGGGGGGGGGGGTTTGGTATTTGGTTTTCCTTACCTAGTTACGTAATTGGAAACAGCTGGGGGCATTGAGTTGAGTGGAAGCAACCGAGGGGTTGACAGTGTATGAGCTGGCAACGAAGTAAGAAAACACTAACCAGTGAACTGCCGTCCACCTGGATGGGAACCCCTGGACTCGACTCACTATTAATGACACTGTCATGAATGGCTCAATTGCGCATTGGCGTCCACAGCTCTCGCCTTCAATGCGTAGCTACCCCGTTCCATAACTAAACATGCCATCACCTGCAAGGCTTGACTCTCATTTTCCGGTGATCGAAATTGTAGCATCTGTAACCAATGTTCTTATGTTTTAAAGTTGATAAAGTGATTGGTGGGCACACCGCACATCGGTGCTTTATTTCCTGATCATTGACGTCTGGTATTCTGACAATCCTTCCTTTGGACCTACGCTACCTCAGTTAGATTCACATATCGCAGCACAACGTACTTTACTTAGTGATCACATTTGCTAGACTTGTAAACTGGCTCTTATTCACCTAACAGCGCATGACCTCAAGCTAAAACAAAACAGCTGATTCCATTTACATTCGCCTGATGGCTTTCCAAACAAAAAGAGGCCCTTTGGGGTCGACCTGTTCGGAGCCTTTCGATCGCCACTGAAATAACATGTAGGACAGTGCTATTGTTTGAAGACACGAGTACTGAGATAATATTCGCTCACAGGTAGAACCAGGGCGATTGAATTATCAGGGATAAGCCGAAACACGGAACCTTTTGGTTAAAAGCTTGTGCCCTTATAATCATCGACAGCATAACATCAGTGTTTAGCACCAATGATTTGCTGCCGTATAAAAATGTGGCATGTGCTTATTTGTATGTGTGCAGTTCATGGTTGTACGTGGGCTGGGATACTGGCAGGGCGCTCACACTCAGACAGCAGGGCGATTAGGGTCCTCAACCACAGCCTTTGGCTCAAAAGCCTAACCGCAAGGTAGCGGTGTTTGGCGAGAAGTTAAATACAATACCGTTTCGAGGGAACAAGTCGCCACATGTCCCAACTCTCGACATTCAGCTGTAACACCCTTTCGTTGCCTAGCTACCATGCCACCCGAAGGAAGCACGATGGGTGAGATAGTGCCAGTTTGCTTAAACTTATACAGGGGAATTCGAGAGACAGAGGTCGGGTTCGAACTAAGGAACTTTCGGTCAGTAAATCCACATTCTAACCACTTGAGCCATCTCGTCCCCAACCTGGAGAACCAGGGGACTTTGTCAGACCAACCACCTGACCAACCTGGTATGAGAGACTGTGAGTGTCGCGGGAACACCTCCAGTATAGCTCAATGGGTCGCTGAGGTACGTAAACCATCACACCACGGTAAGGCCCAATCTCCTCGTTTCTAAACTATACCGAAATCAATCCACAGGCCCAAGGGAACAATAACATCACTCTAGTGAATTACCCGGATCGAGTGCTGACTGCTTGGAAGAGCAGTGTGATCTAGACCGATGTTCATTCACTGTTCACATTCAATCGCAACCTTCCGCAGTAGCCAGGTGACCCAGTGAACGGTTGGCCTTCTGCAGCTCGTGTGAAACCGAACTGAAGTCACAAAGGGGACACGGACCGTTTGTTCGGAGTTGCTTTGTCCGCGCAGTGATGTAGAATTTGAGTCAAGCCGTGTTCATTTATTGAATTATTGTTTCACCTTAATGCTGGGATCTGCTAATTCTGAATTGTTTGTCGAAAACTCAACGTTTTCAGTAAATAGGCCAATGGAAATTCGAGGTGTTGTGCAAGTTAATTGTCGTGTTCGTGAAGCCTTACTGAACTCCGAAAGAGTTGGGTGAGTGGCTGTTTACTCGAATATTCTATCAGGGGAATACTCCCAGGTTGAGACAAGAAACATGAACCCGAGTGAAGATACTACGCTGATCCCTGTGGTGTTTGGTGCAAACAAGGATACTCGCTGAAGATGAACATTGCTACCTTCGAGAATGTTTTCAGTCTAAAATTGGTAGACTTAAACGGAGGTACACTGGACGACACCACTCCTCATATGAACACGTTTATTTTCCAGTAGGACAGTAGGTGTGATTTATGAAATAATTCAATATGCGTTTCTTCCTAATAGGGATCGATCGATGACACCAAATTTCCGTTCTAACTGAAAGACTTTCTCTCTGTATGTCATTCCAAGTACTTTCCCGCTCGTGGAACGTATCGAAGGGAATTAACGTATATTGAGTTGATTGAAGTAGCTTCATTTTCATCAGTTTTTCAATGTCGTGACCAGCACAAGAGACTACACTGCTCATATCACACTCCATTGGTTAATGTAGCCAGAGACGTCGAGTCGCCTAATGATCGGTGTGAATACATTGAGAATTTTTAGCGCACCGCTAGAGTCCAAGCATTTCAATGTCTGGAATACAAGCAATTCTTCTGTGGGTAAGAACAACAATTAATGACTCGATGTGGACGGCTATCTTATCTTCCACAGGTAGATAGCTTACAAACACGGAGCGCCGAAGGAGCAACTTGATGCCATACCATACCTGGACTGGCTATCGGTTTAGTTCACGGAAATGTCGATCACAGCTGATTGCAGTTGCTACTAGTGTGACCCCAAACATTTGTCTCCCTCTAAAAGTTGGGGGTCTTCCAACAGTTAAAAATCGTTTCCCTCTTTTTTTGGAACCACTTGGAAAACTACAGGTACTGACCCCACACCTTCGGAATGACTACTCAACAGAACTTCAGGCGTTGCAACGCATTCCTTCGTAACGGTCTTGTGGCAGTTGATGGACACTCGCACCCCAAGCAAACAAGTTTGCTCATTGGTGTGGAACTTGTCTTAATGTGAGACACTCGGTCGGAGTTGAGAATTTTTTCACCGTTATTCTTAGATGTCCGAGTTGACTTGTTTAGATGCATTCTGTGTAGTGCAGCTTAATCGACCTAACTATCCCTGATAACGGTGAACCCAAATCACCAAAATACCGTGTTTACGTAACTGCGGCCTCCTCCAAACATGCTTCACATGCTTCTCAACAATTGTAGCGAAGAACTTAAGCTTTTCATTGTTTTCTAGGCGCAGCACGCTACCCATAGGGTTTCTGAAGACTCTTCGGCAGCCCACAACCGGTTTTGCCTTTGCTGGAGCTCATCAGGTAGGCACAGTCCCCGAGCTTCCGTCAACTTTTTGCTCTACTTGAACCCAAATTGGACAGATTTTGGCCATCATAATAGATCCAGTTGACTTCTCGTACGTTAGGATTCATCACAAGCAATCTCTAGCCTCGAACAAGCACAGCGCTTCTGCTTTAGTTATGACTATACAAATATTCATCCCGCTTTATCTTGCAACCTTACCGAGAGCTCTGTCTTGATCACTGTTAAGTCATCAGAGTATCTAATGTCAAACAACCCGGGGCTATCAGGTTTCACACCGTCCGTCGTCGTTCACTTGTAAGATCCTTTCCATGTCTAACAGTCATGCCATCTGAAGGAAGCATGGGGGCTGGTGTACTGTCGGGTTGCTCAAGCGCAAACAGGAGCTGTCGAGTTACGGTTTTGGACCACGGGCTTTCCGGTCAGTAAGTTGGTGACTGAGCTGTATCGAGCTCAGATATCCTACCAACAGCGTGACAGCCGTTTGAGCTTGCATGACTGCCTCGTCGATGATGCTGTCATCTCAATGCTACGTTTTACTCAATTCTTCGAAGCTATAAAAGACATTACAAAGATAAGTGAAAAGTATGGTTTCTCAGATATCATGGGTACCATAAATCACTAAAAAAAACTAGGAAGCGACATCGAGAGGGCTACCTAACCACCAACAAACTTTTCTTGCTCCTGACAATTCGATTCCTGTCCATCTGAGCCTGTTAATCATTATCAGACCATACATTCTACCTGACCTATTCTGGAAAATCTGCTACACTTTTGTCGTATCTGGTAAAATTTCGCTTAATCCTATGGTCCCTGAAGGAAATGGACGTAATTAACTTACACACTGTGATCGGATGTTCCAGCACACTTTTACTCATGTTGAAAACGATTTACTGTATTGCGGCATGTCGCCACTTGTGCTACTAGATCCGTGTTGTGGGATTGTACGGGAAACCCAACTAGCCAGTCTCGGTAGTCTCGAAGCCCCGGATACCAGTTTCGCTGGACGTTGCCAGGGTATCTGCAATTCTAATTGACTATCTATCAAGTCCAACACTGTCATCAGATTAATATCGATTAATGTGGTTTTCGCGCTCACTACGTTTTGCATTACACTGGGTCAGGTCTTGCTGCCCGGGGACGTCATATAATGAAGTGCACTTAGGTGGCATGACTGGGTAGCGCACGGGAATCTGGATTGGAAATCTTGATTCTAAGTTATGATGTTTCAAGACTTGTAATTTGAGAGTGCTGGGTGTGAATTGGTCGTAGAATACTTTCGCTGAAGTAGTCAAGTGACGTGGCCCATCGAAATGTTTTCACATCTCCGTTGGAAATCTCAGCCCACATTCATGTTCATACCACCGGTGAGTGGCCTATTCGATGAATGGTGTGTTTTAACGGCACATAAGCGCAGTAGTCAAATAGGATGACAAACTCTACGATATTTGTCGAGAGCTTACTACAGTGCATTGGCGTCCCTCGTCAGAAAAGTGGACTTTCCTCGAACGACCTCACTGTGCATCGCCGAGAAGGGAAGTTATATTTGAGATGACGAATATCCACTTGTCAGAGTTTACTTTACAGTGGGCATTTAGAACCAATCTTTTAGTCGGGCATCATAAACCGTATTCATAAGCTTATGGAGAACGCTGCGAAATCCACATTTTTCACTTTGTCTATATTTTTTTTTACTGTAGTTCAAATCAAAAGCCATGCTGCAGCTTGCCTTCCGCAATGGTCCATTCTACCATACACTGCCAGAGCGCTCGGAGGGCATCGACCTGGCGCGAACATTTCATGGGGCGGATAGCTCTATGAAGGAAAACACTGCAGTATTACTGTCACATCTATTGTTGGCACACGAGGATATCAAGCAGTGGGGAGACGGTGAGCTGTTGAAGGACGTTGAGAATCCAGACTCGTGGTAAGTCATGGTTCCTAAGCGCTCGGTCCTCCCTAACCTTTAGCGTTTCTGCATCCCACGATTCCCTGCAGTCCGTGCAGTGGGCTATAATCTCGTGAGCACTCACGGTGTATGATCAGGTTCCCAGTGTTACTGTCCCCACATAGTGCGGGTATTCAGCGTTGAAGGTAGGCTGATTTAGGACACCCGATATTTTCCACATTGGGTTTTCTCAGCATGCAAGAGTAAGAGGCTCCTCGTGTCAGTAGTTCCTATTGATCAAAGGGGCAAAACAACACCGGTTCACCTGTTTGTCTGGGACAAAACTGGCAGATGGTAATTATCTGAAGTAGGTGAATAAACCTCATACATACGGCCTGCCATTCTGCATTTTCTCTGAAACCTTTGTGATGATTTGCATGACTGTGTTGTGAGGAACGAAGTGCGATTCATTTGTTTAGGGCGCTATTCAATTTTACGAACGAGATTCTGTCTGTCTTTACTGAACTGCATCTTTGATCCTTTCTAAAGCCTTGTAATTGAACGTCGAATTTTGTCAAACCGTGATTTGTGTGCTTTGTGCTCCCCGAAGTGGAAGCCGTAACTGCTCTCTGTGGGATCTGCTGGCCGGTCTATATTCGGGGCATTTGGTGGGAACCGATGTTCCTAAATGTTCACTCCGACTGAACACTGAACGTTATATGACAGGAACAAAGACAGCTCAGTGGTTACTAATCAGAAGGTCCGTGGTTCGAACCCGACCTATGCCTCTTGACTTCCCTTGTCTGGGCTTGGGCAACCTGTTAGTATCCCAGCCCTCGTGCTTCCTTCGGGTGGTATGGCAGTTAGGCACCGAAAGGGTGTTACAGCTGACCGTCTATTATTATGATTATTTTATGTGATAGGCTAACTGGCATAAGGCAATCCCTTGCATAACATGCCATAGGATTGTCTAGCTAAAGTGTCCATACAAAATCTCTAGCGATTGCACCTTTTATGAAAGTCTATAGTCGGGTCACATCTCACTAACTCTGCAGTCAAGCTAACCTTTTTATGCTTGTTTTGGAGTTACCACAACAATTAACTTGAAGCATCTCTCCTCTTTGGTCACTTAGATGAAACAAGTGGTATGCAACAACTAGGCCGCGGATTGGTGGTGAATCAGATAAGCTTTACTGATTGGTGTTTGATGTATCAGCTTATTGCGTCAGACCGGCGTTTCACTCCGTTCTGGACTGATAAAGTTCTTGTCAAAGGGTGGGGGGTTCTTTGTTGTTGTTTGTGGTGTCAATTTTTCCTTACTCGATAATTCAAACGAACCCGAAATCCTACCAACTAGTGCAGTTCGCCACCGTGTTTCGGAACATGTGGATTTCATATTTCGGTTTTATCGTCAACTGAATGAGTATCTTTTTGTACCGTTGATGCGGTGTTTATATGTCGGATACTACTAATTAGGAATCACTCTCTCCATTTATCTTCAGAACTACTGATCCGATGACGTAATCACATAGTAGTTGTCTAACTGCACAGACCTGAACTTTGTCAACACTTCTTCTTGTAAATCTTCGTTTATATTCACGAGAGCCTGAATACCCTGTGTCTCACTGTCGATTAAATTACTCGTCTATCTGAATTGAAGTGCTTTTTTGGGTTTCCCATTGCATACTGATGCTCCGTGACACACTCGTTTCTATCAGGTACCCTAAGGAAGTAGTTCAGTTCACAAAATTCAGCAAGAAAACTTTGGCTCGCCAGCGGGCTCGAAAAAGGCTAACCGAACAACAGACAATCGCTAACAGGACAGTAGAAGCAGCGGTCAAGTTTTCCACTGAAGGAGCGGTGGAGGATACATCCGTCCAGCGTGATGTTGATGAGGTTTTGCAGCAGGTGGAAGGTCAGTTACCAGTATGCTGCCCGAATCTATTCTTTACGTTTCCATTTGTTCTTTTCTCCGCTACTTCCGCTTTAAAATAGGACATTGTTCACGCAGATAGTTCTTCTTTGCTAATTTACAGCCCACTGTTTTCAATGAACTGGGATTTGGAATCCGCACATCTGATTTAATAGCGTGCTATCGCTACTTCATTAGCTCACCAGCGCCTAACTTATCACGTCTGAGCGGCCAAACATGTCCGCACATCGGTTTTCCCGAAATCGCTTTCAATGTATTGATCTCGATCTATTGATCCGGCCTTGAATTCATGACATGCGGATCAGCCGATCGAGGTATACAGGACCAGCACTGGGTTATCGTTCGGACTGTTGGATGAGTCAGTAATACCGCAAACTGTTGAAGAAAAAGATCCGCTGGTTTAGTTGCGTTAAGTGTGTACTGGTGAAATAGTTATACCATACTTCATTCGTATGTCAGATGCCCGGAGTTCAACTTCGGGCACTTCAAAGGGTGTGCATTGCCGGTGAACTTCAATGAGAGCGGATCCCCAGTTCAGTGATCCCCATCTGGTGTAGGCGAATCAGAACAATATCCCATAGTGGGAAGAGGGTTGTTCGAGCGGAAGTGTCATGGACACAAATCCATTTTTGTAGCATTGTTTGCTTCTGGTCAGGCCTGGGGACTTCCACGGGACATACGCTCAGGTTTCACTCGTTTGTAGCCCGATAACTCGTGCTAAATAGGGCACAACCTCCAAATAAGGACCACCCCCACAAGGCCTACTGTTTCCTATTTTCTAAAAGGTGGTTAGGAAGTGACCAATAAACACGACCTCAGAAGACAATTGGCACCCTTATTATTGCAAAGCAATATGCATTGACCAAAATTATCCTATTCTAATCCATCGTATGAACTGACCACTTTGTACATGTCTCCTTGTTTCCAGCTAGTAAATTAGAAATACGTCTTGTAGTACTGTAATTGTAGGATAAGGTGTTTCTCTGTGCCATTCATATCTAGTTTCCACAAGCTATTCTCGGCCGATGTTTCATGTTGCTAATCCCGCCGTCAATTTTGAGCAATCCTCATTCAGTAGACGGTTTTTGGTACACGATATCCCCCTTCTGGGCCAGATAACCGGCTCTGACATTGAGCCACTTTCACATGGATTTTGTCTTTTCAACCTTAACGTACTTCTTTGCCTTTACCCAGTGGTTTATTAAGCGGGACCGATCGGCACCCAATGTATCCAAGCACAGCTGTATCAGACTTGTTGCACGCTGCGGGGATAATTGTATGACTTATATCTCACCTCGGGTTAACACTTTACCATTTTAACTACAGGTGCGGCAATTTATTTTCAATAGCGGTTCAAATGGTTCCAAATACGCTTCATATAGATCCAGCTGCAGTCCGAATAAATTCGATCGCCGAACCAACGGCGAAGCTTTTGCGCATGAGCTTTATCAAGCGTTCTGACTGGTTATAATCATGGATATTAAACGACGAATGTTGCATCATTGACCATTCTTCGTCCTTCAAAATGTGGGACAGATGGACAACTTACACAGCAGTATATGTGGTAGCGGTACTAATGAAATGCTGAGGTATGACTGCACTGATTTTTTTGTCCGAGCCCTGAGTAACATACGAAGGTCACATACCTAGCCTCGGCGAGCGATCAGACTCCACAGTTGGCGAGGACTAAGTAGGAACAACAGAGGTATTAACCGCCGACGCCTATATAAATAATATTAGCCCAAGTCTCAGGGTAAGGAAGGTTGTAAAAGTGACATCCCTTTAATCGTGAACAGCTGATCCAGAATGCGCCCCTAAATATCCTGACATAGGGAGTGATTAGATCGAAGATCCTTTGGCAATATCTTTGGTTAATTATTCCGGTTCACGGAGACCACAGGATTACGACAGATAACGCACTGGTATTTGGAGGTAACAACTTAGAACTTATCCTCAATGTTTGAAGGTTTTATTGTGTTAGGCTTCTTTGGGGCAGTTATTTCTAGAAACTTTTACCGGACAACGTGTAATTCAGTTTGTGAAGCCAACAACTAATCAACGGAGCGATCAGATTTGAAGACATAGAAGACTTGTCTATTCGTGTCATTATGGCTAGTACTAACGTGGTTCAGAGTATATTGAATAGATACAGCATTGTCGCAGAAGCTTCGCTCTACAGTCAATTTCCGCTCAGTAAGTGGGACAGAAGGTGATATTCTAGCTGATACGACTATCAGTAAATGGTTTTGAACTTGTCAGAAGTCAAGAACTTAATACATTTTCATCAGCATTAGGTAATTAGCCACGGTGATCTGCGTATGACGGATTTTCACTTTGTTGGGCCCACCATCCATTTTTTCATGGTCACAGTTGTTTCCATAGCTTGGTCGTGACGATTCTAAGTTTCTTTCCTTCTGTATTATCTGTTAGTTGTTACAATCAGTGACGCCATGTTTTCCTAAACGAGCATCAATATTGGTGAATCATTCTCGTCAAAGTAATTTCGTCTTTTCTACTGTTTTAATATAGTTTTACACTCTTCAGCAGCTTAGATATATGTTCTTATTCGGATCAACTGTCCATTAAGTTGAATTGACACCAAATAATTGTATAAAAACCTGTCTCAAAACTTGTGCTCAAGTATGCTGAGATTAATCAAATTAGAGACTCTTTGGAGTCTGTTGTATTCAAAAAAGTATTGTCTGCGAATTTTGAGTAACTTTAAGAATTTTTTAGACTTCAAACTAGTTTTCTTACCCTCAGTTTCCGAATTCCAAATCCCCATATACAGACCACGACAACAGCTACTTTATTGTCAACCAAGATGCATCGCGCTCCCTATCCAGTTAGTGAAACCAGATAAGTGGTGTAAACTTTTTAGGCCATCGAGACCAGTAACAACCATTCTAGTTATGTCACATGGGTAACTGGTCAGACCATGGGACAGAGTCGGTAACACTGGTGAGTTTTCCGGCCTGAGAAAAAGTAAGCCTTATAGGCAAATTGCTGGTCCATACAACTGGAAAGGATTCAGTGGCACACAGTGCCTCGTACACGGACTGCTCTTGTTCTATCTACATTCCTCTGAGTGTATGAGCATGCCAAAACCGACTCTCGGCAGACTCAGCTCCTGAATACTGATTCGAATCGTTAAACATTTCTCGGTACACAAAATCCATCTGAATTTACATGCACATACAACCTTGCATAAACTGCGGGTACTCGTTCTCGTGCAATATGTATGTAGACTTCACACGAGCAATAGCCGGTTTCCCGCTTACGTAGCAGCATACCAGGTACAATAACCTTGGAAGGATAGGTCAGTTGTTGCATGTATCGTCTTCCACCAAACAAGGGGTCTCGTATTCGGAAGCATATCCGCTCCGCTTATTTAGGGCACAATAAGTATAGCCAGCGGACGTCAGCGCTTTTGAACGTTACGCCCGAGGTGTCCGCGAAATGTTGAGGGCTGAGCTTTTTTAGAGCGATGGACGAGGGCATACTTCACGTGAGTGGTAGGAGGAGGGATGCTAGGCATTGGCTAGTTTCGCCTATCGATACATGTGTAGCTGTGAATGGAACGTGTTTGGTCTACTTGTGCATTGTGATTGGTCTCAAAAGTAAATGCGAAAGCAGCGAGACCTGATAGAAGTGACTGAGTAGATGCATAATTTATAATAATATTGTTTCGGTTGACAGTACTGTTATGGTACACAATTTAAGAATGGGCCCAATGAAACCGAACATGTTTTTAAAAATCATTTCGAGGGTAAGTTATGAGGACGATTTATCTTCGGTTTGTTTGAAACCTTCATGTATCGTTCTCAGCATATGGTAGTAGACGTAAGGTGATGAATGACAGATATAACCCAAGTTATATAACTATGATATACTTTGGGCATATGCATTACAGAAAACTTGGTGACAGCCTAGTCGTAACGGCCCTGCTTCCTGAGCTCGGTATAGCTTAGTGGTCAGCGTGCGAACGTACTGACTTAAAAGGTCCGTGTTTCGAATCCCACCTTGGCATCTCGGCTACTCCGGCCTTGGTTCAGGCAACGCGGCAGTATCTCAGTCATTGTGATTCTTATGGAGATCATGGCAGTAAGCACCGAAATTTCTCTGCAGCTGGATGATGTTGGTTATGTTCACTATACTACTAATATTATTATTAACAGGGTGCATTTTTGACATTCATGCCGGTTATGAGACACTGTAAACCAAATAAGGGATTACGTGTGGTTAAAACCAAACAATATGATTTTCATCTCAGGATTTTCGATTGAGACTCAGTAAGGAACGAGTAAAATTTATAACCGTCAATACCTTATTTGTGTTGATATTCAGGTGGACTGCATAAAAAGCTTATTGGCAGAATCCCTTCGACGGAGTGTTAAACAAAATACAGAATACAGCGACAGAGTATATCTTCCTAAATGGAACTAAGACGATGACAGTGGTTGAATTCCTAATTGCACATCTGTGTTTGCGTTCATGCAGCATCTGTTTTGCCGCTTACCTTCATTGAGAACCATCTAACATCGTTGTTTGAATACTCGGGATTTAAATCACACACTAACCTTGTATAATTGCTTCCAGAATATCGTGGTTGACTCTGTTTAGCTGTTGATACTGAACAAGTGATTTACTCCATTGTTGTCAGGACTAGTAACTGTTCCATGCCGAATCACACGGGAACATATTATGAATCAGCCGTTCATAATTCATTGCGTTCCACGCTCACCATATTCCCTATCCTGAAATTGGATGACCGTTACTTGCCTGAACGCTTAGTATGGTGTGTACTTTTGTCCAGGCTGCGTTTTGCTCCGTTGTATGGTCTATTCGCCCGTATTGCTCTCGAATGGTGCTGTTGTTTAGTCGTCTAAATACTCAGTTTGAAATCAACTTATGAGGTGTAATACTACTGCTGCAACTAGTTTGTTCGGGCTTTGTCACTTGAACATGTACCAACAACAAGCAAGCAACTAGCATTTAATGGTAAACGACAAACAACACATTTCTTACTTGCACATCCTGTTGGACGTTTTAATACGTTCATACTAGTTTGCCCGGGCTTTGTCACTTGAACATGTACCAATATGACCAACAACAAGCAAGCAACTAGCATTTGATGGTCAACGACAAACAACACATTTCTTACTTGTACATCCTGTTGGACGTTTTAATACGTTCATTGTGAAATACACTCACATGTCCACTTAAAACTTTGTGAATTCTCACCAGAATAATGGCTGCTAAAGCACTGTCTTCCAAACCGGTAAGCCTAATGACCACTACTAGTCCAAAAGCAGTTTGCTCAAAAGCTATCCCTTGTATCTGATGAGTACATATACGGTCCTCATCATCTGTTTTTCAGGTGAACTTGCCGATGTCGTTGAACCGGACAAAGCTGATCAAGATTCTGAAGCGGACTCGGATGATGCGCGTTGGAATGGGGATGTAAATGTCGAAGGCGATGGAGATGACATAGATGACGAGGAAATCGACAACGACTATTGTCAGGCCTACTTTGATAACGGCGAAGGTGACCTCAGCGACGATGCCCTTGGTGGTGACGACGAAGATGGTGGTGGCAGCAGATACTTTGACTGACAACATACTCGAAAATTATTCTGTGTATATGTATATAGCTATTCAAATTGAAATACATCACCTCATGGTCTACACACGAAATGTTAGCTGATCTGATATTTCTGTTTTTGACTCCGATCGGTGTATCATTCAGTTGGCTATGTACATTCTTCTTATTTCGCGCATTCATTGCTTTTAACAAGAGCGGTCGTTGGGCGACAAAAGCGCAGACAATGGCACAAAATCACAACGATCCAGCGACACATTCTCCAGAATGTAATGGTTCATCACTTACGTCCCGCAACCCAAACAGTGTCCCAAAGTCACCTTGTGTAGCCAGTTCGTTCAAATAGACGGGTGTTTTCAGGCTGGCGACATAACCCGAACTGAAAAACTATCTAACTGGAACTTTCGACTTATTCGTAGCTGTAGAAACTAAAAATGGATGCGTTTGGACGTACTTTACAGCCGGGAGTAACATGGAGAAGCCTCTTACTGAATATAATAAACTCTGATGCGCTGAACACATGTGCCGACAGCCAAATTGCTTGGCTTGAGAGAGGACAGCAGTTTATGAGCCACCCTCGCATCTCATTACTGGAACATTCGATGATGTGTACTTGTTCATACCGTAATACACGTAATACCGTAATACACGTAATACGTAATACACCGTCATGATTTCTAGCGTTATAGGCTACCGAGTAGAAGCTGACAAACATGCAGCAGGTCCCACAGTAGTTTACTATTTTCTCTGTGTTACTGTCACAATGAAATCGCTTCCATGAAAAAGCCTGTAGTCGCATCTCTTGCATTGTTGGGTAGCAAAAATGACAGTGATTGGCCAGTCCGCACAGATCAGGGCTTTCGAGGTTGATGTTGCCATCAACATGTATTATACCTGAGTATTTGTAAACTCCGTTGTGTATTTGCACAAAGCATGCTTAACGGTAATCTTTACAGGATGTTCTCTATCGACGCTCACCAGATGTGACTATCGGAAAGTGTAATTGTCTAGATATGCATACAGCATTCAATGGACACCACAGACCAAAATAACTACTCTGTTTGTTAGTTGACAAGTGGTAATAAAACACCTCATCTGAACTAAGTGAGATGGATAGACAAGTTAGTCGGACTTGCAATCAAGAAAGGTCGGTTAGGATAAGTCAAAGCATATGAGGTACTGCTAGGGATTTTTCAAATAGAGTACTGCAAACGCAGTAAGAAGGACTGTCACCTTTTCTTCAGTTGTTTGCTGTTTGGATTATTCTTTAGGCGACTCTTTTAGCAATTGATTGTTTTGCAAGTTTTTTGCCGTTTCTGGTGAGACGAATAACACACACGTTAACTAAAAATGCCTTGTGAAATTGCCCGTTACTAATAGTTATTTTGATACGTTCACACGAATTCACGCCGTCAGCCGCTTATCAATCTTTGGACAAGCTTTCGCCTGTAAAATCTTGGACAAATTCCATCAGAGCTCCAACCGCGATTCAGTTGAATTTAGGGAACGGAATGCGATCAGGGAGTGCTTCGCATCTATCGGGACGTGACGTTTCCTGAATCTTCAACAGAATGGGGTCCACACTTGTTTATCTTTCATTTGCTGGTAAGTCCTCGATAGGAATACGATTCGATTCCACTGGAATGTTGTTCATCTGTTACTCCCTTGCTCCTTTTAGTGTGTGCCATGAACTTGCTATTCATATTTGGTCGGTCAACGCGCATTGTATTAGAATGAAACCTTGATTAGGTAGGTCAACTCAAAAACCTCGGAAATAGCAGCTTCATTAGCTTGTCTCCGTTAGACGGCTAAGAGGTTTGCTACTCCTTTCCGACAGCAGGATCACTTACTCAGACTAGCTGAAATAGTAGCGACCTGTGGGGATTGACGTGTCAAGAACTATGTTTAGCCTGTTGTCCAACGACCACTGTGTGATAATAAAAGTACAGATATGGTAGCGACCTGTGGGGATTGACGTGTTTAGCCTGTTGTCCAACAACCACTGTGTGATAATAAAAGTACAGATATCGTAATGAACCGGCCGCTCACACAAATCAACAAGAGCTTTTAACCGTCACTTATCGTTGATTTAGTGTGTTAGTCGAGAGGGACCTTGTCGACTGTATGCTTGAAAACTCGACCCATCAGGTAGTCTACTCAGTCTGGATAAACGTTGCCCAGAAGTAAATACACGAATTGCTTACGAAACCTTTTATTGTAATCCCATCTCAGTCGTCAGTCTGTTGTGGTTAACCGCTGTCCCCAATCCAATGTCTTAATGTCGGAAAAAGACTCGCCAACAAGGTCCACAACAGCTTTTTTTACAAACAAGCGAGGGCAAAGTTACAACAGTATTCGTGGTATCTAAACCGCACTTTGATCTTGATCCAGGCTGTCTGATCGGTGCTTAGTCAACACCCATCATCGGCCGTGCTTCTGTCCCCAGACACTGATTGGCCGTTTCTGAATTGGTTCTCCGCTTGAGTGTTTCATTGGAAACTTGCTCCTCCGGTCTCGATACTTGACGGTTTCCCTACGCTGGTTTTGGTGGAGTTTGGGTGTCTCAATAGGTTTGGGCATTATGGGGCTATTTTAAAAATTCTGACCTTTCGAAAGGATGGCTTCCCGATTGGCTCCAAACTTCCCCACCCCCAGCCGTTAACTGGTTTCCCTGTTTCAGCGCAATCACTTTTTAGAACCAGAAAAATGACCTATTGTGTAAAAGTGTAACCAAAAGTTGAGGAAACGATCAAAGCGTAACGGCTTTTGACAACCAACCGCCGAGTCAAATTGCCCGGTAGCTGGACAACCTCTTGTGGATAAAAGGGTTAGAGGAACCAGGTTTTCACCAGCCCTGCTTTCTGTCAACCGGCCTTTCTATGTCTCCTCTGCTGTGACACGTCCAGCGACTTTCGTGACCTCTTCTTTTAGTAATTCATAACAAATTTCACGCAAACTGATCTGTGTTTTTTGTGGGTATCATTGATACTGGCAAGTGGACCAACATACCTAGTCCGGCCATGATGCTTTTATTGTCGTTTAATGTCTTGCACAGAACGTATCGCGGGACGAATGTTGTGTAATAGGGCAGATGCAAGAATATTTCCCGGGACGTGAGTGCCGTCCCTTATTGGAGTATGGATCCAAACCTCAAGAATTGCAGCGTGGAACGGGCGCATGTTACGCCAGCTAACATCTTTTATCAACATCCACATATGAACAGAAGTCTCATGAAATGCTTGGCATACCAAGTATCCCTAGTTGTGTCGCCTTCAATGCATCAGCAAGTCGGAAGTGAATGAGTGGGACGCGCCCAAACAGATCTGGGAACGCAACATCATTCCGTTATATACCCAGGAGAGTTGCCTTCTCTCTTTCGATGGGCAGTCGCGGACTCCGCTTCACCACAGAACTCTGCATTTTAAGAAAATCATTTTGGGAAATTGGATCCTCCTGCTACTCCAACAATGAACCCTGTGTTGAACCTAACTTGACCTTGTGATAATCCCCCAATTCATTTCCTTACTCCGCCTATGTACTTTTGACCTCGAGTTGTTTTGCTTACCCGTACCCACCACTCATCTTGTCACAGAGGCCGTCCTGTCCGACACTTGTGTATTGACATGCGTGTATGTGTGTGAATGTGCGCTGCTGACCTACTTACCCATGCGCGTTCATATTCCGTTTGCTGAGCCTGCTTTGACTGGTTTTCTCACGAGTTCCGTGTGAACGTCCAGTGAGAATCACGAGACCGTCGCCGGTAGGGACTACCGCAACCCACGTTTCTGAGCCATCATTCCGCTCGCCGTTGTTTGGTGTACACGTTTGCTTATTCTTGTGCAAGTAGTACCGTAGAATTACGAACCCAATTCTTCGGGTTTGTCGAACCTACGCGTCACTCAAAGTTCCGTATCGGGAACCCCAACATCCTGAAACCCTTTAATTTTCATGGGCAATGCTCGAGTCTTAATACAGCCATACTCACGTGCTCGGTAAATGCATGAATATAGCCGGCAAAGTGCTGGTCGGTTTCTCGAAGTCCTAGCGCATGGCCACCAGTGGAGTTCATGAAACACGTATTCAGTGCGATGAGGCTTTGAATTGCACAACTACCCCCAACCTGCCGAAACTGTAAAGCTGGATAGTACTTGGCAAACGAAATTTGTGGTCAGGATCTGTAGTGTTTCTGGCATTCTGAGCAAGTCAACGACTCATCTGAATTTTGTTCGAACGTGAGAGGACTATGCATCATCTAATCCCGCACCGGTAAACCTTATTTTCAAATAGGGTGTTATCCTAAGCCTTCGCAAACCTGAAATTATCTTCCAGTGCCCCAGCAATTCAGCCTACGGTCCGTGAAACCCTCAGACGCAGACTAAAACGGATTACATAATGCTCATGTTGCTTGTTTCTTCAACGATTTCCTCGGAAGAATACCACACCGTAGCGGCAGTTTATACTCCAACTATCTACGGTCCGTCCCTCAGACGCAGACTAAAACGGATTACATAATGCTCATGTTGCCTATTTCTCCAACGATTTCCTCGGAAGAATACCACACACAAGCGGCAGTTTATACTCCAACTACCTGTTTTGTTATCTGAAACAAGTTTCTCTGTTGGTAGGGCCAAAACCATCTTACAATCTTCCGGCGCGACAAACACAGCGGATTTGGATGGTGCTATGAATGCCTGCTTTTCCGGCTTCAGCGGCGCGTGCTGATTCACGAACAAGGACTGAGAAATCCCGATTTTGGTATCACGGTACTATTAGAAATGTAATACTGCACACATTCAACAAACCTCAGCAGATTCTCCTTTGCAGATACCGCAAGGAGTTACAAAATAGGGCTGTGCAACCGCCAGCCTGAGGATAAAATCGCAGTTCAACTGGCCACAAAATCGATATCGTCGCAAGTAAACAGATAGTAGACGCGAGTAATCACAGAACGATACTCCATCAAACCCCGTAAAAGTTATAGAAATAATTCATTAAAACGAGAGAGCTTTCGGATCCTCCGATCAGGGGGAATATTTATGGAAATTGGCTGTCACATACGGTGGGGACGTGGGCACATGTTCGATAAGCTGTCTTTTACAGATGGGGCAGCTCGAAGTCCCATAAAAATCGCACATGGCATAGTCCTCTGAATTCTTAAGGCTTCCGTTGAATTCTGGTTGGCCTCCAAAAGACTAGAAATGCTGCTGCCAATTAACAATAGACCCGTCAATTTTTCCAGTCGCGCAGTATGTCGTAGAGTGGATTATTAGACGATGCGATGTTTGCTCCCAAATTTTATACAGCCCAAGTTGGTCAAGAGTCACATAACTACTCCTTTTAATGCCATGTAGGTAGAATTTTCGAAGCATTTCCATGAAGTCGCTTCCGAATCAATTATGTGCAAACCGACACTTTTTGTGCGGTTTGACTAGCAATAATGCGGTTCACACGATCACTTGAACATTGGAATTTTTTGAGGGCCGAACAAGCACCACCGCTCGGTTGCTGGAATCGCACGTCATATAGCAAGCGGACGACGTACAAATCAACCACACTACACATTGGCTTGTTGGGAAAATTTTTGTGTAGGCAAATGCAGATAAACTGCTTTGCACACGAGGGAAAAACTACGTCAAACGGGAAGGAACCACATGCCGACCAAACCCACAAGGATCAGAAAATGATACAAATTGAGAATGCAACGAAAGAAAACGACTGAATCATCAAGAATGATGGGCAGCAACATTACGCGATCCGGGAAACGAGCCAGCAGAAAGTCCTTCAAAAACCTGTTCTACGAGGCAATATGGTGCGGGAAATGTGTTTCATTGGAGAACCCATGTTGCGACTTGATCGCAAGGATTATAAGAGAGACATACTGATTAGCTAACTATATGAAGAGATATCAAATTGCATCTGAAAACTGTATAACTGGAGAGAGTACCCACGCAATTTTGCACTTATTATACATCCCTTATTAGAGCGTTAAATTCATAAGCAAATCTCCGGGCCAACAGAGCAAATCGTTGACCACGCAGGCCACGAATTTTTCAGGTCACATGCACCAGTGTCTCTTGCAAAGACGAGGCACCCCGAATCATTAGTCTGTTATTTGGTCTTTTCTATGCTGCCCCTCGGACTAAGTAAGAATGAAGTGTACCGCGAGGAGAATTTACTTGCCCCGAGCAGATTAATGTACTTCAGCTGATCCTCTCTCACCAGAGCCGCTTCAACTATTACACACATCGCACAACACTGACGCCCTGTACTTATCATCACCACATCACGGCTTCAACGAACTACACCGCTGGTTCATCCTGTAGCAATAGAAGAGCAGGGTGCATGCACGGTAGCTATCCACCAGCCTGCCGTACTCCGCAGCTTGAGAGAGCACCCAGAAGCCTTCAAGTTTAATCAAGAATTATGGTTCACAGAGAGGATCTATTCGCCAGAAAGAAGGTTTGCCTGAATCAGTTTCTGTAAGAGCAACTTAAATCCTGAATTTTTTAAAATAAAACTCATAAGATAATTAGCCTTGGAACCCATAAAAACAGTCCCTATTTTGCTAAACGTCATCCAGTTGAAACCGTATAACCCATGGCGGTAAAAATATCAGGGAACTCACCCCAAGACCGCATGGTGAACAGATAAGACTGTCCTTCCATTTCTGTCCAAAATATTCCTTCATGAATGCAGACAGCTCGTAAGCTCTAACTATAATCAATTTACTCTGGCCGGGTCAACGTCTTATTAGTCTGCCTCACCCAAAATCCATTGGTTCTAATGGTTATGGACCCTTATCTGAAAGTGTTTGCTTTGTCCAAGACCTTCTGATCCAGGGTTAGCTTCGAAATTTGATGCAATTACCAAAGGTGCAAACCCCTTCAGGTTTAAACCAAACGGGTAAAATCAATCACGTTTTTGGTGGCAAAAAACTTGGTAGAATACTTCTGAAGTACCAGGTTTCGCTGAATCGTAGGTTGGTTGCAGCACGCCAAGGGTAAGTCTAATTTACTACTTTTTCAGCGTCTATTTACGTCTCGTTTCACCCTTTTTGGCACTCAGATCCAGGCAGTGAATTTTAACACATTTCAGGAAGAGTATAAAAGCGGGAAGGAGACTGGACACAGAGAAAAGATGTACTCAAAGGCAGGTATGAAACGGAAGCTACTCAAATCGAGCTGTTCTTTTACCGGTGTAGCGCTTGACGCCAGATTGTCGCAATGCAGGTCTTACATCTCCCGCGCCCGCCGTCACAGGTATCGGATATTGTGGGCTACCTCGGCTGCCTCGGTTTTAGGACTTCTTGTTGGATAATACAGGCATGAATTCACCATTCCCATTCGTCCCATGCACAATTTATGCTGGGAGCTGCGAGGTTTTGGGGTCAATAAGAGGCTCAAAGTACTTACGACCCACTAATGGCTTCTAGGTTACCGCCGATGAGGTCTTGAAATACTCTCAAAAGGTGCTGCACAAAACATTTGGAGCATGGTAAAGATTCAAACATGAATCGATGGTCTCAACATTTTCAGTCGGTGTAGGCACCAGCGGTTATTCAGAGACTCGTAGTCTCAAGTGCGATAGGGTACGACACTGCTTACACCTCTGGACTAAGCACCCGAAACCAAAGGAAAACAAGTTGGTGGCCACTGATAGAGATGTGTACTACGCCGTTGATAGAATTCTCTTCAACATTGTGTAATAAAAGTGCACTCTCACTCTCCGGATAGTAAAGTGCCCACATTACCCTTTAGGCAAACATAAGGACATATCCACGATTTCACTGACTGATACACAGAATCAGGACTTTTGTCCATGCTTCTCTGGTTGTGTTTGTCCTTGTCGCTCGGAGACTACTGCTCATCTGAAGGCCACGAGCGAAAAAACGTTGCAGCAACGCCGTTTAATTTTTCATTACCGCATAGTAATCTTGCCACTGGTGGCACTCACAAAACCGACGGTGAGCGCAAGCTTGATGCAGTTGGGTAACTGACGCATGTGTAGTTAGGTTGACTGAAGAAAACGGAGTATAGTGAACGGCAATTTGGGGGCGTGAAAGTCAGCCAAACATGTGCTCTGCAAGGAAACTTTGGTGGTTACAGGGTACAAATCTGTCGCAAGGTGATTCGGGCAACCGATTGCCGAGGTTGAACGCTAGAAGCACAATACTGAATAAGACAATTTGATGGAGACCAGGATATCTAGATCACTGCACTTTCAAGTAAAGAGTTCTAATGATTCACAATTTAGATAACTGAGTAGTCGATCAAAAAAGGAGGCCTCCTAAAGTCACAATGTAACCCTCCTTGAGTTAAAAGTTGTGACGAACGGCCACCAGAGACAGGTTTGGCACTGAATTCGGAATGCAGTTGCACATAGTGGCAATCGGCCTTTTGGTAGTATCATAGAAAGTAACATGTATATCAAGATTTAAAAAAGAGCAGCCAAATGCAAATGGTTTTGGAGCATATGCACATAGTGTCGGCCTTTTGGTAGTATCATAGAAAGTAACATGTATATCAAGATTTAAAAAAGAGCAGCCAAATGCAAATGGTTTTGGATGGAGGTCAATTGTTTGAAATGGATGAAACTGCGTCCAACAAGGCAGCTCAATTACTGCAGCTGAAGAAGGACCGATTGATTACTTGTTTTTGCGACTTGACTTGGCCGGTAAGGCTGGTTGAAAGTCCGATGGGCAGCTCATTGCAATACCTTGTTCATAGCTCGTAGATTAAACGCAGCGGAAATGAAGGGCGTGTAGGAAATGATATAGTAGCGAACGTCAAAGTCGCCAATACATTTTGGAAAGATCTTTGGTTAGATATTATTTCACAGGAGCCTCCATGGTCACGTTTCAGCGGAAACGTTTCGATTTGAATCAGATACTGCAAGGTTAGTCGGTAAAATTTGAAATTGAAGCCTCTGGATGATGGGGCTTAATGTGGAAAAATCCTAAGCGTTTCTGGAAGATTTAGGGCCAAATCATTGGGGCCTGTATACTACAAAGTGACCGATACAAGAGTTCGATCACAGTTGAGGTCAAATGCAACCGAAAACGTCCTGTGATCTGAGGGAGAGTCGGAACATTCAACATATTTTTGACATGATAGAGGGCCTGTTTTCTGACGATGTTAGCAGTGATTCTATTATACTTGACAATATGCTTGGGTATCGCCATGTATATCGATATATACATATGTCGACGGATATGCGAGACTGATTGCTGGATTCTGAGTGACAGCTCAAATTTTTCCTAGTTCAGCCAATTAGATGGATCAGGACGGTGCACGATGTAACTTGGAAGCGAAGAGCATTGGTGATATTAAGCACTTGATGTTAAGTGCAAACCTGAGGGGCTTTGACTTGCCGTACTTTCTCCGGTTGGACGATCGTGTGGGGCCAGAGAAATTCACACCCCGGGCTCAACATCACGAGAGCGAGTTTGAGACGACAAAGGCCAATGTCACTCCTGCTCATGTGGACAGTGCGGGCGTCGGTCTCATCCTTTGGAACCTGCAGAGAGGGTTGAACACCTTTGTGTAGTTAGCTTTCGTCTACTGGTGAGCGCGAATGACGGACCCTTTTCTCTCTGAGACGAATGTGACTAATGAGAAGTGGCTGACGACTTTATTGCCTCCAAGTGTATACTGTTTGTTCTTCCTTCTTTGGTGACGCACCTGACGCATATGCGTCATTCGCCTTGGTCGAACTCTGTATTCACTGCAAGAATGTCTGTGATTTTCAAATTTTTATCGACCAGTGAGAGGGACTTATTATCAAAAAAGGACTGATCAAGTGTGCCGACTAAATTCTCAAAACTTTTTGGTCAAACTCCCCCAACTCGTTTATCCAACTTATCTGTCCAACTTATTTGTCATCAGAATGGATGTGTGGAAGACGCCACAGAAACATTTTGATAGTATGTTTGGAAGTTGTGACAAGGGACGCCTGGACACTGCGATGATTTAAGCTGCCTGACCATTACCTACTTAAAACCTAAAGTTGTAGCCCTCAAATGAATTTGATTACCAGTGAAATATGGGCAGCTTTCAGCCGTTAGTTTCAGTTGATGCAGTAGATGACTAAATAAGGTTGGAAAATAAAAGCCAGCCAGATGAGGAATATGAGAGCTGTAAGATATGGAGGGCTTCTCGCAGGACGATTGCGGGTATTAGATTATGTGCAGTTCGTAGCCAGTAGTCAATGGGACCAATCACACGTGGGCAGCAGATGATGAGAACTGACAAAAAATGGTTCTACAGACAAACGTATTAGTAAAGCATCATGAATTAAGCAAACCTACAATCAATAATGGCGGAAAATAGTCACTGACGCATTAGGGGCTTCTAGAAACAATAACAGGTAAGCACTGCATAATGTACAAACATTCATATGTGGACAGTCCGACACTGTGAGTTGGCCGTATGTAGAGGTAACAGCGCAGTAATCAGTACGCTCGGGATGTGAGGGGCTGTCTTTCAGTCGGCGGCGCGACGCGACAGCTCGTGTCACGTAACAAGTCAGATTACGCGGTTTCGGTCGTTTAAAACAAACCTCGCCAAAGGCTCTCTGACAGGTGCGGTACATGGGTAATACAAAATAATTGACCACTCTGGGTGTCAGATTGATGGCGCGCTCGCCTGCCGTCTGGGGACTGTGGGTTCGATACCCCGTCGGTCTGCTTTTCCGCCGGAGTGGACGCTCGAAAATAGGTGCATTCGAGACGTACTTGCTTGCAATAACAGACGGGCAAAAAACTGTTGACATCAGTTACTGAGGTGCAAGCAGACCTTAAGTAGGGACAAAGCAGATGAAAAACGAGCAGCAAGACAACAAAACGGAGTCATAATAAAAGGTGCAAGTCACATTACTTAGGAAAATTCAAATAGCAGGGAAATTTACCGCAAATCACCGTTGATTCACAGGGGGAATCAACAAGAGCTTTCGGGCCACAAATACGTAATATGCTGGGGGCACAACAGTATTCACTGACGGCTGACAAAAATAATATTCCGTCAAACTATGTCCAGTTAAAATTTACTGCACGGCATTTTACACGTGAAAACAAAGCACAGCTCCAAAGCCAATAGTCACGAAATGGGGTTCCTCAGAAGACATATTTCGCAAAAACTTCACAATGTCACCCCCACAGCCCTTTCCAAAGCACACTAAACAGAGTGCGCCTTGAGACAAACCACAGGTTGATCAACGCCCAAGTGGTCCACCATAATCACGGTATTAGCCCGTATTGATATCTAAAAGGCAATGATTCCTATTATCACAAAGGGTATCATCACCTAAACGACTCTGACGCTCAGAGCGATCTGTATTCGTTGGTTTTTGTTGAGTTAGTCACCTCGTTATAAGAACCACGCCTTGCAACAAGTTGGAATCTATTCCCGCGCTACTTGCCCGATTATGCCATTAAATAAAAACTGACAAAGCGAAGAAGGGAGACAGTGTTGGCAAAATTTTCAAGAAATTTGTTTACTAGAAATTTACTATATTTTCCTGCAGTAAACTGACTGGCCCCTAGCTAAGGCACTGTTTAATGCAGAGTGGGAGGAAGTCGCTCAAGAGCTTCCACGACGGGCAGTTCAGTCACTAGCAAAAGATGGCGCAACTGGTAGCTACATTCCAGGCCGCGCTGAAATGTCGTGACATGTGTTGCTGTTCTCACGTGTGTTGATGACCCAATTATCCATTCTCATTTGTGTCACCCACAACACTGGTTGATTTTCAACAGTTAACTCAGGAGGATAGTCACAGTTAAACGTGTTCACGAGAAGCGGAACAGGCAACTGAAGATTCCAGCGAATATGTGCATGAATATCTTGCAACCTCGCATATTAAGCTGAGAAAGCAAATAAGAGCGTCCGTCCAAACTAGACGAAAATGACTCTTATACCTAGCGCGGATCGCTCCGTTGAGGTTGCATTTAGTTGATATGCACAAATGAATGCTTCACAAAAATTGTTAGAGTTCTCGTGCAAACCGAGGGACGTGTTGCATAAACGAAGGCTTAAGGGAGATTGGGTGACATTTGTCACATAAGAGGAAGTGCACCTGACTATAAGATAAGTCATGGCAACGGGCGTTTCGCAGCCGAACGCAGATCCAGAGAGCTACTGTGGTTGAAAGTGATGCGTTTAAGCCTCTGAGTTAGAAGGCACGCATGCAACAAGCAAAAGTTAAAGACGAATTTCAATGCAGAATTGGCAAAACTAACCGCTAACGCCATCTCAGGATGATATAGACAATCCGAATCAGCTGAATGCTCTTGGATATGCACCACATTTTCTTTTAGTGGTACAGTTTGTGAAGTTTCGCATTCGTTATAACTCATCCTGCTTTAAACGCATGGTAGTTCGCACCACTGGTCGTGAAGCTTTTGCTGTAGTTTCTTTAGCTTTCGGGCCACAAATACGTAATATGCTGGGGGCACAACAGTATTCACTGACGGCTGACAAAAATAATATTCCGTCAAACTATGTCCAGTTAAAATTTACTGCACAGCATTTTACATATAAAAACAAAGCACAGCTCCAAAGCCAATAGTCACGAAATGGGGTTCCTCAGAAGACATATTTCGCAAAAACTTCACAATGTCACCCCCACAGCCCTTTCCAAACCACACTAAACGGAGTGCGCCTTGACACAAACTACAGGTTGATCAACGCCCAAGCGGTCCACCATAATCACGGTATTAGCCCGTATTGATATCTAAAAGGCAATGATTCCTATTATCACAAAGGGTATCATCACCTAAACGACTCTGACGCTCAGAGCGATCTGTATTCGTTGGTTCTTGTTGAGTTCGTCACCTCGTTATAAGAGTCACGCCTCGCAACAAGTTGGAATCTATTCCCATGCTACTTGCCCGATTACGCCATTAAATAAAAACTGACAAAGCGAAGAAGGGAGACAATGTTAGCAGAAATTTCAAGAAATTTGTTCACTAGAAGTTTACTATATTTTCCTGCAGTAAACTGACTGGCCCCTAGCTAAGGCACTGTTTAATGCAGAGTGGGAGGAAGTCGCTCAAGAGCTTCCACGACGGGCAGTTCAGTCACTAGCAAAAGATGGCGCAACTGGTAGCTACATTCCAGGCTGCGCTGAAATGTCGTGACATGTGTTGCCGTTCTCATGTGTGTTGATGAACCAATTATCCATTCTCATTTGTGTCACCCACAACACTGGTTGATTTTCAACAGTTAACTCAGGAGGATAGTCACAGTTAAACGTGTTCACGAGAAGCGGAACAGGCAACTGAAGATTCCAGCGAATATGTGCATGAATATCTTGCAACCTCGCATATTAAGCTGAGAAAGCAAATAAGAGCGTCCGTCCAAACTAGACGAAAATGACTCTTATACCTAGCGCGGATCGCTCCGTTGAGGTTGCATTTAGTTGATATGCACAAATGAATGCTTCACAAAAATTGTTAGAGTTCTCGTGCAAACCGAGGGACGTGTTGCATAAACGAAGGCTTAAGGGAGATTGGGTGACATTTGTCACATAAGAGGAAGTGCACCTGACTATAAGATAAGTCATGGCAACGGGCGTTTCGCAGCCGAACGCAGATCCAGAGAGCTACTGTGGTTGAAAGTGATGCGTTTAAGCCTCTGAGTTAGAAGGCACGCATGCAACAAGCAAAAGTTAAAGACGAATTTCAATGCAGAATTGGCAAAACTAACCGCTAACGCCATCTCAGGATGATATAGACAATCCGAATCAGCTGAATGCTCTTGGATATGCACCACATTTTCTTTTAGTGGTACAGTTTGTGAAGTTTCGCATTCGTTATAACTCATCCTGCTTTAAACGCATGGTAGTTCGCACCACTGGTCGTGAAGCTTTTGCTGTAGTTTCTTTGCTCATCAAAGTGCAAACTGGGTATCGTCGTGCGTTTTTGTCGCTTGGCGTTTAATCTAGCATATCAAACTACATTATGTTCACTGGCTGCCCTGTAGCCTGTCCAAAAGCCTCAACTGTTTTCCCGCTCCCTTTGGTTGTTATGCATTGGTGGACTTTCATCAAGTTCTCTACTGTTCAAATTTAGCAAGGAAGAAATTGTAGTTTTCCTAAGCATGGTAGTACGCCCCTTGGAGTGAATTAAATGTGTGCGAATAAACATTATTATGGGGTATTAATGAAATTACTTTGCACGAACTAGTTATATTACCTCACAATATAGAAAGAGGTAGCTACTGAAAGTGTCAGCATGCAAACTCGAACATAAGGCCAGAGATGGGGCGGAAACTTGATCGGGCAGAAGAAAGCAAAACGCAAAAGCTCTACTTCTCTATGTTTTTAAACAATGAGACAAAGAGATGGGCGAGTTTATATTTGCAAGATGGTTACCAAACAGAACCTCTACAGGGAAACGGTAAATATTGTACGACAATTTTCAACTGCCGCAGGAGGTGTCCGCACGAGCGTTGTTCTTTATTTAGTTAAGGTGAGGGGGTGAAAGAGTTGCCCCGAGTTGGAATATAAGGAATGGCAGCTATCAGTGATGCGCCGAGTAGGCAGTGGCACTT